CCTGTTTGTAACAAACGTTTCTGCTCAGATAGACTGAATTTTTTATTTTTCTGCCTTATTACCATCTGCTGTGTACTTATCACTCTCCCTTTTTCCCTGTCTGTCTATCCCCATCTTTCCCTTTTCTGATCCCTAGTTCAAGAGGATGTTAAACAGGGAACTGTCTCATCTGTCTGAGACGAGCCGCTCGGGGAATCAGGTGTCTGAATACATCTCCACTACCTTCCTAGGTGAGTGAGCCTGCACACGCTCTGCTCTGTACATCTCAGCCTTGCTGCTATATTCAGAAGCGCAGAACCTTAGTTTCAACATTGCAGTATGTTATACTGGAGTACATTCACTGCTCTGAAACACTCAATGCTTACCGATTTGAAATTAGCTGTCATCTGTTAAAGGTTTATGCATTGGTTGTGTCTCAGACAAACAGAATGAGGTGGAGATTCCCTCTCCTAATCTCCGGGAGCGAGAAAAACCAATGTCTCACATCAGCGGTGTCAAGAAGCTTACACATAGCTCGAGCCTCACTAGTGCAGCCCTGCCCCGCTTCGGGGTCAAAACCGAGCAGGAGGACTCACTGGCCAGGGTACAGGCACAATGCATGCATACTAACTCAGAACTTTCCCAACACCCAATCCTCTACCATTACTTCTAGTTATTGGTATGAAAAAGTCAGTTTGTCAAATGGATTTGATGATTTAATTTACTCTGTCGTCACAGGAGCTGAATGACTTAAACAAGTGGGGCCTTAATATCTTCCGTGTGGCTGAGTACTCCAATAACAGACCTCTAAGTTGCATCATGTTTGCTATCTTCCAGGTGTGTGGTCCCTGTTTTTTTCTATAAATGTTCCTGTGTTGATCTGTACTTTTGAAATATGTCAGATGCAAAGAGGTCTGTGTGGTTTTGTTTGATTTGTATGCTCGTTACTAGGGGTGGGTAAAAATATAGATTTTCCAATTATCTCAACTTGAACAATCACAATATCGTTTCTTAAAATCCCCAAATCAAGCTTTTACTCAATGCCTATTTTCAGTGGCTGTGTGGAAATGTGCTTGAACGTCCTGTCCTGCACATGCCACTGTGTTCTGCTGAACTAACTCACTCAACTACAGAGTTAATTTTTAAAATGGATATTTTCATAATATTTCAAGTCAGAATGTTCCCTGTATCAGTGTTCCTGCTGAGTTGTGAATGTCAGTTTGCAGTCTGTTTTGAATGTGATGCAATAAAAAAAGCATTAGCAGAGAATTAATTTCCTTAATGCTGTATGTAAGCATAACTGACATTACAACTGAAATATACCAGCTGAACTGAATCAAATCAGACTTAAGGCCTTAAAGATAACGATAAAGATATAGTTCATAAATCGTTCTCACTATTAAAGAATAGCAGAGTCCACACCACAGCTGTAACGATAAAGG